TTGTTTTGTTTTGTTTTGTTTCCAGTACCGGGAATCGAACTCACTACCTTGCGCTTGCCAGGCAGGCGCTGTGCCGCTAAGCTAAATCCCCAGCCCCACTTAATGTTATTGTGAATGGTATTGTTTTCCTAATTTTTCTCAGTGATCTCATTACTAGTGTACACAAATGCTTTGATTTTTGGGTGTTGATTTTGTATCTTGCTATACTACTAAATTTGGTTATTAATTCTAGGAGTCTTTGGTGGAATTTTTTGGATCTTTTATATAGAAGATCATATCATCTGCAAATAATAATGATTTGACTTCTTTTGCTATACATAATCCCTTTTATTTCTTTCTCTTGGCTGATTGCTTTGGCTAATGTCTCAGGTACTGTACTGAACCGGAATGGTGATAGTAGACATCCGTCTTATGTTACAGATTTTTACTGTTTTTGTCTTTTGGGGACAGGATTTTACTCTGCAGTTCAGGCCACATCCTCACTGTCTCTGTAGCCTCAGTATTTAGAACAGACCCTGGAAGAGTTCTACAGATGCAGTTAATGCTCTCGCTGTTTCTTTTTGCCTTTGGGATCTTTTCTGTCTTTGTTACTGTTGTCCCCGGTGGTCTTTGTTCTTCTCCGGCTGTCCATCGCCTCACCCTGCTCGGTGCCTTTCTCCTGCAGACTGTGTACAGTGCCCTGGGCCTGAGGGATGCCTGCCGCTCCCTGCCCCAGTCCATCCAGCTCTTCCGGGACATTGCCCAGGAGTTCTCCGACGACCTGCACCACATCGCCAGCCTCATTGGGAAGGTGGTGAGTGGCGGGAAGGAGACAGAGCATCTGGCAGGCAGGGGGCCAGAGGTTAGAGAATGGAGAAGGACATGGCCTGGGGATGGGTGTGGCCTCCTTCCTGACCCAAGTACTGGACCTGGCCTTGCAACTGGACGTCCTGCTGGCCCTCACCAGCACTGCCCAGGACTATGGCTACTCAAGGGCCCATGGGAAAGCACAAGAGACTCAAGAATGGGAAGATGGGCTGGGCGTGACGGCGCATGCCTGTAATCCCAGCACTCAGGAGGCTGAGGCAGGAGAATGACTGCAAGTTCAAGGCCAGTCTGGGCTACATAGTGAGTTTAAGGCCAGCTATGGACAACATAGAGAGATCCTGTCTCAAAAAAAAAAAAAAAAAAAAAAATGGTGAGAAGAGGTGGGGGAACGCTGGAACTTTCTGGAAGGTTAGGGTTAAGGCAGAGCTGCACGAGGAACCAGGGCCTGAGGAGAGCGAGGAGCAGGACCAAAGTTTGCCATCTGTCTCCCCAGGTGGACTTCGAGGGCAGTCTTGCTGAGAATCGCTTCACCATCCTCCCCAACATTGATCCCGAAATTGATGAAAGTGAGTATCAGAGGTGGAGATGAGCCTGTGAGCCCCAAAACACAAACCTGCCTGGTCATGGGGTACCATTTCCGGCTGGGAATCATCCCAGCAGCTAGCAGGGGCCTTATTTTGATATCCGTGTCTTCTTCCCTCCTAGAAAAACGAAGACTGATGGGTCTCCCCAGTTTCCTCACAGAAGTTGCTCGGACAGAGCTAGAGAATCTGGACTCTCGTATTCCTTCCTGCAGTGTCATCTACATCCCTCTGGTGCGGGTGGGAGGGAGGTCTTTTTTATTTTTTTATGTTTTTTGAGACGGGGTCTCACTGTGTGGTTCAGGCTGGCCCTGAACTCACTTTGTAGGCCAGGCTGGCCTTGACCTTGCAGCTACCTCCTGCCTCAGCCTCCCGAGCACTGGAAATATAGGCATGCGCCACCACGCCCGAATACCAGGGTTCTTACGGAGGACATGTTAGACCCATGGAGAAGTGTGGAGGAGTCTGAGCACCTTCGGGGGATGCACGCGGGGTCTCTGGGATTTCCTTGCTCTACAGAGAGAAGGTGCCCAGGAAAGTTCTCTCCTTTATCACCTCTTTACTCCCTAGATTGGCTTCCTTCTTTCTATTCCCCGCCTGCCTTTTATGGTAGAGGCCAGTGACTTTGAGATCGAGGGACTGGACTTCATGGTAAGACCCTCGACCTCTGCAGGGGTCATAGAGAAAGTGAGTCCCCACTGAGGGAGACTCTTACCCATCAGCACCACCGATAGGGAGGCTCACCTCTGTAGGGTTTTTTTGTTGTTTTGGGGGGTTTTTTTGGTCTTTTTGAGACAGGATGTTGCTGTGCAGTTCAGGCTGGCCTTGAGCTCACTTTGTAGCCCAGGCTAGCCTCAGACTTGCAATGATCCTCCTGCCTCAGCCTCCTGAGTGCTGGGAGTACAAGTATGCACCACCACACCCAGCTCACCTCTGTAGTTTAACTTTGAGCTTTGCCAGCCTGTGACAAGAGAAGGCGGGCAGTGGAGGGGGGGTTAGAAAGGCGTGGGGGAGGAGAAAGGGGGGGCACAAGTTGCGAAGCCCCGAGCTTTGGACCCTTGTCCACAGTTTCTCTCAGAGGAGAAGCTGCACTATCGCAGTGCTCGGACCAAGGAGCTGGATGCGCTGCTGGGGGACCTGCACTGCGAGATCCGGGGTGAGAGCAGCCAGCAGCCCAGGGGAGCCGCGGGCAGTGCGCTCCTGACGGCCCCGCTGTCTCTCTCTGGCTCCCCGCCTTCCCCTCTGGAGTGTCGCAGTCTCTGGCCGCGTCTGCACGCTGCTTCCACGTCACTCCGTGGCGTCTGACTGTCCTCCGCGCCCGCCCTCAGACCAGGAGACCCTGCTGATGCACCAGCTGCAGTGCCAAGTGCTGGCACGGGCCGCCGTCCTGACCCGAGTACTGGACCTGGCCTCACGACTGGACGTCCTGCTGGCCCTCGCCAGCGCTGCCCGGGACTACGGCTACTCAAGGCCCCGTTACTGCCCTGGACTCCACGGGGTTCGAATCCAGAACGGCAGGTGAGAGTGTAGGCGGCTGGAGCCGGGGATCGGGTCCCCCAAGGCCCCATCATCCATCCGGAGCACGGGCCCCACGAGAGGAGACGCCTCTGCACCCCGCAGACATCCTCTGATGGAGCTGTGCGCCCGGACCTTTGTGCCCAACTCTGCGGAATGCGGCGGGGACAGAGGGAGAGTCAGAGTCATCACCGGGCCCAACTCCTCCGGGAAGAGCGTATACCTCAAGCAGGTGAGGGGCCCTCGGCGCGGCCCAGCGTCTCCTCCCTCTTCACCCCACCGGCCGCCCCAGGTCCCTGTCCTGCGCCCACACGTGCTCGTGCTGTGCCCGCGGGAGCCGCGTGCTGACGGCCTTTCTCTCCGTGGCCTGCACTCCCCTCAGCCTCCAGTCTGCCGTTCCCAGGTCTGCCTCTGCCCACTTCGCCCCCCTCGACAGATTCTAAAGTTGGGACCTGGAGAGGAAAGACCGAGCGTCCTGTACTTTCCCTCCTTGCTCTTTGACCCACCATTGCTTTGATCTATCATTCGTGCCCTCGCTCCAGCCTCGCTTTTTATAGCCCACACCACCAAGGCCCACGCCCGCTCCCCCTCACCCAGGTGGGCCTCATCACCTTCATGGCCCTGGTGGGCAGCTTCGTGCCAGCAGAAGAGGCCGAAATCGGAGCGGTTGACGCCATCTTCACCCGAATCCACAGCTGCGAGTCCATCTCTCTCGGCCTCTCCACCTTCATGATCGATCTCAACCAGGTCCCAGGAGGCAAAGGGAGGGGGCCCGTGGGGGGAGCAGCTGGACCCTGGGACGCTCAGCCCAGGCCTGCCCTGGCCTCTGCTGGGCTCGGGGAGCAGTCGGCAGAGGCAAGAGGACGGGCTGCCGTACCCATTTTTCGGGTCCTTGCTTTGTGCAAGGCACTGTGGCAGAGAAACATGAACGCAGCAGGTGCCTCGCTGTTCAGGAACTTGCAGCCCCAGCACCGCTGGTGGCCGCGGTAGACCCGTCCGGGCTCTTCACAGGCCGCCTGGGCCCAGCGACCGGCCTCAGAGGCTGATGATCCCGCCTCCCGTCCAGCAGGTGGCGAAAGCAGTGAATAATGCCACCCAGCGGTCTCTGGTCCTCATCGATGAATTTGGAAAGGGAACCAACACGGTGAGGGGAGCCGCGGTGGGCACTGAGGAGGGGGAGCGGAGGAGGACAGAGGGACGGACGTGCCGGCCGGAAGGACGGAGGCCGGGCAGCGCGGCCGCGGGCCGGGGCTCTGCAGCGTGGCCCTCCTCGCGTGCAGGTGGACGGCCTCGCCCTGCTGGCGGCTGTGATCCGACACTGGCTGGCGCTGGGGCCCACGTGCCCCCACGTCTTCGTGGCCACCAACTTCCTAAGCCTCGTGCAGCTCCAGCTGCTGCCGCAAGGGCCTCTGGTGCAGTATCTGGTGAGACGCAGGCGGCCGTGAGACCCGGGCAGCGTTCCCGGAGGCCGAACGAGTCCCTTCCCTCTTCTCAGTCCCCCGCGGGGACTGGCCCAGGGCCCCAGGGCCGGCAGCAGGGCGATGACACACCGCCCCCTTCTGTTCTCTTTCAAGACTATGGAGACCTGTGAGGATGGGGACGAGCTCGTCTTCTTCTATCAGGTGTGCGAAGGGGTTGCCAGCGCCAGCCATGCCTCCCACACAGCGACCCAAGCGGGGCTTCCGGACAGGCTCGTGGCTCGTGCCAAAGAGGTGATGCGATCCCCAGCCAGCACCGCCCGGGGACCTGGCCTGCGGGGCCCCTGGGCTCTGTGACCCTGACTCGGGCTCCCTTCCTGTTCCGAGGTTTCGGACTTAATCCGCAGCGGAAAACCCATTCAACCTGTCCGGGAGCTGCGGAAGGAGAACCAAATGGCGCAGTAAGCGTGCCGAGCGTCTCCTCCCTCTCCCGCAGCGCTCCACGCGCCTCTCCACCGGGCCTTCCCCGCCTTCCGCCCGTCCAGCACCACTTCCTGAAACCCCAGATGCCAATGTCCCGCACAGCCTGCACCGCAGCCCCTCCCTCTGCATCCGCCCCCGGCGAATCTCACCCCGCTCCTGCTGCTGCAGGTGTCAGGCACTGGTGGAGAAGTTTCTGGAGCTGGATTTGGAAGACCCCGGCCTGGACCTGGACGTTTTCATGAGCCGGGAAGTGCTGCCTGCTGCCGCCTCCGTCCTCTGAGTCCGCCCTCTGCCCTCCTCGTTTCCTGACTGCCTCCCATCCCCTTCAGACCCCAAGTTTGGTTGCCTGGAAAGTTTGGCTTATTATCAGGAATAAAGAGTCCATCTTGGATGAAGTAAATGTTTCGTAGGCCACCCAAAACAACAAGAGAACAGGAAAGCGCTGAAGTGCCCCGTGGAAGTCCATGGCATGGGTGGGGGCTCAAGGGTACAGCGCTGGCCTGCCACGCGTAAGGCTGTGGGTTTGACCCCCAACACTGTAAACAAACCAACAAACCGTGACACCCTGAGGGAGACCCTCCGATTCCACCCTGGAGACGTCACAGAACAGACCACTTCAGGAGGCCCTGGAAAACAGACGAAAGGGACGGCGAGGGGCCCGGGAATGAGGTCGCTGTTCTTCACAGGGCCTCGCAGTGGGCAGGGGTGAGGCGAGCCGGGGCAAGGGCAGGCGGGCTGAGGGCGAGGTGGGCGAGGGGAGGGCCCAGCCCTGCCCACCAGGGCGCCCCACCCACCCTCCCACTCGGAGCCATGGGCAGCCTGGGGCCTCAGGGCCCACGCCTGGTACGGGCTCCCTACACAGTTCTGCTGCTGCCACTGGGGACCAGCCGCCAAGACCCTGGGGCCCAGAGCTTCTTCCTTTGGGTGAGTATCAGCCCAGCAAGGTCTCGAGAAGCCCTCCTCCCCTGACCTGCTCTGGGTATTTCTGCTTAGCTCGAGGGCCCAGGCTTGCCCCAGGGCTGCAGCGGCCAGGCTGGGCTCACAGTCAGCGACCAGACCTGGAGCCAGCCAGCTCTGAGAGTCGGGCGGGGCCTGGGCCGTGGGCCCCGGCGGGAGGGAGTCACCTCCCTTCTTGCCTGGCCCAGTTGCAGAGGATGCAGGCTCTGGAGAGACAGCAGGACGCCCTGTGGCAGGGGCTGGAGCTGCTGCAGCGCGGCCAGGACTGGTTCCAAGCCCGTCTGAGGGAGGCCCAGCAACAGCAGCTGCGTCTGGGGGCCCTCGGAGAGGTAGGGGCCGCCCCGCTGCGGAGCAGGGAGCGGAGCACTCCGGGAGGGGGAGAGTTAACCGCAGGGATATCGCAGGATGGAGGCAGCAGCAGGACGACAGGCGGCCACCAGGCATTAGGTTGGGCTCATTGTTCGGCAGGAGGCGGCTGGCCAGCTCCATTCAGAGGGCCGAGATTCAGATCAGTCCACGGGAGCGGGCGTGGCCCCGCCTATTCCAGTACCCAGGGACGGGCTGGGTGTGTGCTGAGGCCAGGGTTTCCCACTCGCCTGGAGGGCGCTGGGATGCGGGCTCCACGTGGGGAGGATCAGCCTTGCGACCGGGACTGGCAGATGGACCTGAGCTCACCCGCTGTCAGCTTTCAACTCCTCCTCCAGAATTTCCTGACAGATCCACACTCAGAGCCCTGCGGCCCCCAGTTGGCCCAGATTCAAAAAGTGAACATCTGTTTGCAGAATCTGATTCAAGACAAGGTGAGTTTATTGTCTTTAAACTTTCAGGAAATGGGCTGAGAGGGAGCTGCAGCGAATCCCGTCCCCCCACCCCTCGCGCCCGCCGCAGGAGGCTGTGCGGGGACAGGGTGAGCAGCACAGATGCCCGTGTTTCCCTCCTCTTCTCCAGGAGACATCGAGGCAGCAGAAAGGAGCCACCCAGTCCGAGAGGGAGAGGGGTCCGCCGGGTTGTGCCCCGGGGCGGAGGGGCCCGACCCTCGTGTAAACCCTCTTCAGTTCGTCAGTGTGGGGCCGCTGGGAGGCTGAGTCAGACCAAACTCCTCTCTTAACCCAACAGCCTAATTATGGCTCCAGGCCAGGGGTCCCTGGCGTTCCGACCCCCCTTGTGTAAAGCGTCCCTCTGCCTCTCCCCATACGCTGCTCAGGCAGGGCCCCTCCTAACCGGAGGAGGCGCGCTGCGCCCCAGCACTGAGAGGCCGAGTCGGGGGACTGCGAGCTTGAGACCCGCCTGGCAACTCCGCGACTTACCAAGAAACTGTTTCAAAATAAAATTTTTTTACAAGGGCTGGGGACGTTGCTGGGGCAATCCGGGGTTCATCCCCAGTACTGCCAATAAATAAATAAATAAATAAATGGGTAAATAAATAAATGGCTAAATGGATACGTAGAAATGGCCTGGAGAGAACGCGCTCATTGAAACTACCTTTCGGCTTTAAACAAGAAAGTAAAGCAGCAGCTGCTTCGGAATTTATCCTAAAATCAACCCTAACTCACGACTCCTGCCCCGCGCCCCACCTCCCCGGCCCGGGACAGCGCGAGCGGCGGGCGGGGCAACGATGCCACAAAGCAAGGGCAGCAGCCGCCCCCAAGCCCCGAAGTCTCCGGCGTGGGCTCCACCCAGGCTGGGCCGGCGCCTCGGTTCGGCACTGCGCTCCCGCTTTGCTGTGCGGTGCTGCGGATGGAACCGGGGTCGCCGTCCGGGTGGAGAAGGGGGCAGCCCGGGAAGGACCGTCCCCCCGGCCGGCGCGGCCCGGGTCAGCAGGCGGCC